ATTACTTCTCAATTCTTACAGGATGTCCTACATATTTACAATTATTTACTTTTATAATTTTATATATAATTTTCATAATTACACATAGAATTAATTTTGTTTATAGTTACACAATGTAAACTTTAATTTGTAGCTCTTTTGGGCAAAAGTTATTGTAATTATAAGCACTTGATGAATAAATCTAAAATATTATCAGTACTACATTAAATTACCCTAGAAATTCACAACTCTTTTTTTTTTTCTTGTTGAAAGGGTTCTGCAGAACAAAAAAAACATTAGGAACCACTGAGGTGGGCCATCAGGCCTCTGCAGACATTTTTGAACAGGGGACATGAGCTATAGTTACTGGTTGAAATGACATCTTACATAAAATTAGCTTAAAAAATGGTCTGCTCTTTCCCCAACTTTTGGGACAGATATTGTAAAATGGTCTGCTCATTGTTTTATCTTCATATTTCCTGAATCCTGATTTTATCTCAAAATCAGAGGCCAGGGGTTAACTGGAGTTAAACAAAACATGAACTTAGAACATTTTAGACATTTAGAACTTAGAACATTTAAAACATCTTAGAACTTAGAACTTTTGTCTAAATATTAGGAATTTGTCTAACTGGGGCCTCTGAGCTATTGTGATTATACCACTGACATTTAGTCTAATATAAATTTCATAAAACAACGCAGGATGGGACCCAATGGATCTGAAGCCCATGATATTGCTGGTAGGCTAAAAAAGTGAGCTAACAGTATGGCTGATAAGTCTCCAGAGAGAAGTGTGGTAGGGAGGAGAAAGTGGTGGCCAAAAAAAACATTACATCCTAAAATGCCTCCCAAGGAGTAGAAAGGCAAGGCTGGAGAAGGATTTGGCTTCCTTTTAGCCATCAGAATAAAATATTAGACGTTTCACAGTGATGCTATCCTATTTCATTAAAAAGCACAATACTGTTACATAGTTAAACTATGCTATTTCATTAAATGCCTTTGTATTGTACTAATTGTGTCCTCCTACTAACAAAAGCAGTTATCCATGTGGACTCGTGAACTAGTTTTTGAGTTCATGTAGATCCAAAGAGAAGCTGGGAGAGTTTATCTATGTGAGTGGGACCCATGTGCATGATGGAAAATGTCACAGATGCCACAATTTATTTGTTGCACATTTATATAGCACTTATGGCACTGACCACAAGACTAAAGAGCTAAGAATTTAACAGAACAACGTACTAAGCTGGTAATATTTTTGCACCTGAGGCAAATGCCACAAACCCTGCCTGGGACAACCATCAGTTGAAGGGCTGGCAGGCAGAGATAGAGATACTACCCTGTGGAGGGAGACGGAAGCTGAAGAAAACCATAAGGCCACTGCTGGGATGACTACCCACCTCCACTCCCCAGCAAGAAGACATTTAAACTAACCTTAGAAAGTAGAATAATTAGTCATTTCTGAACATTTGACATCCGAGAACCATGATTACTGGAGGTAGAGAGAGGGAGCATTATGGCGTGACAATCTTTCCAGAAAACATGCTTTGGGGGAGGGAGCTGAAAAGGAGCTTGTTTTCCACAAATCCTCAAAGCACTATCTTACAGCTTGAAGACACCTCTAGATCTAACTCCTTGATTTTGCAGAGGAGGTAACTGAGGCCCCAGAAAAAGTAAACCACTTATCCAAGGTCATGGAGAAAGGCTCATTCAACTCCTACCAAAGTTAAGGCTGAGCTGAGAAGTCCATTGGTGCTCAAATCACATAGATTCACAGGCTATCAGAGTTGAAAGCAATCTTTGAGACCTCCTTGTCCAAGTCCATTTAACAAATACACAGAAAAACAGAACCAGTTACTCTCAAGGCAAGGGACTCTGACCTAGTTCAGTGGACTCCTGGGCCAAGTTGTTGAAATATGTCCTCCCTTGGGGATAGAATCCACTGAAACTTCTGGATCAGTAGCTCCTGGTTCTAAGACTCAAAGCAAAAGGCTCTGGTCCTTCTATCCTCCCAGAAGCATTGCAGTCCTTTACCTATCACCACCACCATTTCTGCCACTCCCAATATTCACATACACCAGACTTAAGCAGTCTAGAACACTGCTTTCACAGCTTTGGAAGTCAAAGCTGAGGGGGATATTCAGCTTCCAAGAGATGGGGAGCTGTATAATTACATGGCAGCTAAACCGTGCTATGGATAGGGTGCTGGACACAGGAAGACCTGAGTTCAAATCCTGCCTCAGACATCCTAAGCAAGTCATTTAACCTATCTGATTCAATTTCCTTAACTATAAAATGGGGATACTTCTTATGGTAGTTGTGAGAATAAAATGAAATAATATCAGCAAAGCTCTGTATAAATGCTAACTATTATGGAGTAGGCAGAGGCAATTCCAAGAAACCAAGGGATTCCTCCCCTGCCCTACCCCATCAGAATTATTTCCACTTTCCCTTCTTCTCCCTGGACAGATGGTGCTGAAAGACTGAGGGCAAACTCCAAGCCTTGTAGAAGCATTTATAGGATTCCCAAAGTTCCTTCCTCCCCACCTCTTCATCTGTAAAATGAAGAAACAAAGACCCAGGGAAGTGAAATGATTTGCCCAAATTTGTTAGGTTCTTAGTGATGAGTAAAACCTCAAGTTCAGATTATCTGAATTTAAATCCAGCCCTCTTCTCACTGTATCACACTGCCTCTCACCAAGGGAGGAAAGTGTTAAAAACTCTGGATGATTTACAGAAAGACAGAGACAAAAATTTTACCAGATGAAAGGGCAATGGACCTGCACCGAAGGAGGGAGTACTCCTACTGACAATATCATGTGTCATACAAGTGAATCAGTGAAATATATACATATACATACATATATATATATATATATAAAGTACATACACACACACACACACACATATAAAGAGAGAAATCTACCAAACTCTGCATAGCCATGATACAATCGTAAGATCTACCAATCAATTGATTGACCAGTATTTATAACAATAATAGTAATACCTAGCATTTACATAGGGCTTTAAAGTTTGTGACATGTTAAATCATTTGAATTTTAATTATTTTGAATTTAAGCATCTCTTGTGTCAGGCATCATGCTAAGTGTCCAGGCCACAAAGACAAAAATAAGACAAACGCTGCCCTCAAGGATCTTAAATTCTAGCAGGGAGACATATGAATATATAGACATATACAAAATAGATGCATAAAATTAAGATATGGGGGAAGGGCCACCAGAAGCTACAGGAATCCAGAAAGGCTTCATGTAAGGGCTACTAGGGATAATCAAAGGCCAAGTGAGGTGGCAGTACATTCCAGAAATGGGGGACAGCCTCTGAAAAGGCCCAGAGCTAGGAAGTGGCATATCATATGTGAAGAACAGCAAGGAGAGTTTGGCTGGGTCACAGATTGTGTTAAGGGGAATTTCACATAAGACCTGAAAGGTAAGTCAGAGCCCATATGCTATGTGCCACAGTCAGTTCAATATCAATATTAGATCAAAGGATCATCACAACCTAACTCAAATCCTTCTTTTAAGATGAAGAAATTGAGGCTTTTCCTGACTCCAAGTCCCAAATTCTACTACCATGCTGCAAGTATTAACCCCATTTTACAGATGAGGAAATGATAGCTCCAACAAGATTAAGCAATTTGGCCAAGCTCAGTCACACAGTAGAGACAGGGATTTAAACCTAGGACTTCTGATTTAAGCTCGAGTATTCTTTGCAGTCTTTCCAGACAGTTCATGCTTTTATGCTGACCCAAAATTTGCCTCCTTCTGACATGTACCCTTCAGTTCTAGGCCTTCCCTTTGAAACCACACGGGACAAATTTACTCTCTTTACTACCAAATCTATTGGATAGTCTTTCAAATTCTTAAAAAAACACATCTTACTCTGCTTTAACCTTTTTTCTGAGATACACTCCCAATTCTTAAACCATGACTCCCATAACAGTTTTCAGGAGCCTGAACAACTGTCATTAGCTTCCTCTGGAAACATAACAAAGCAGGAGCTGCTCCACAAGGAGCCATGTTACTGCAAATTCCCTGTGACCTAGGACCCTACTCCCATGTGAAGGGCGAAGAACTTTCTATTCTCTAACCTGCAAAAACTTGTTCCTCTGGACCCTGTGCTTCACCCATACACCTGGTGGTTTTTCAATTTTAAAAGTTTCCCTTTTAAAAAAAATTTTTTTTTCTCCTTGACAAGATTCCTAAGTTTTTTAGACATTTATTCACTTTTGTAATTTTTTTAACCTTTGTAAAGCAAATTGGCTAGATTCAAAATTTTCTAAGTTTGAAATGTACACATGATTTGATTATAGTTGACTACAAAGCAAAAAAGTGGCAAATAATCCCATGCTTCTCACAGACTGTTTTTAACAAAAAAAAAAAAAAAAAAATCACTCAATCACTCTCAGACAACTTCTGAGAGATCTGAGTTACTGTTGTGATTTGGCATCCAAGTATTCATACTCCAATTCTGTTTCTTAAAAAAAAAAAAAAGAAAAAATGCATCAAGGAAAAGATAGAAAATTAGAAAGTCAGGATGACAAAAGTCACTAAACAATCAATGAACACTTGTTTGGTCAGTTCCTATCCCAGGAAGCAAAAAATCTAAAAAAAACCCTTCAACTACAGATAAAAATCTAACAACCACAAAATAACTGAAAGTGAATGCTGTAGAATTACAAATTACAAACATGGCTCCAAGAGATATTAGAAGATACCTTCCCCTACTACTTTGCAGAGGTGGGAGCTTCCCCCTATGTAACTTTGCATATATTTTCAGATTTTTACAAAGTACTGATGGGTTTTGCTGATTCTTTTCTCTTCCTCTTTTTTGTTAAAATTAAAATTTTATTATTTATGGAATGGCTCATTGGGAGGATGGATATTGGAAGGAATTCAGGCAACACAGAAATAAGACAACGATGAAATGAATTTTTAAAAAGAAAATAGATAAAAATCTAGCAAAAATAAGAAATTTTATTTTATAAATGTAAATCAAAAGGCATCTCAAATATGTATGTATATATATATATATTTATACACACACACACACACACACACAGATATGTAGATATGTATAAATATTCCATCTCTACTAATCCCAACTAAAACTCCGTTATGTTTAGGAGGAATAACCAAAGGAAGAGCTTGCACCTTGAGGATTACCACCCCCTCCCCCCAAGTCTGTAGGGATAAGTTTCCAGAGGCCCCTTGGGGAGGACTCCTCCCTACGGGTCTAGGGAGAGGGAGCCCAGGGCTTGGGTCGCGGCCTGCTCGCCCTCGTTCTCCGGCTGGGCAGCAGCTTGCTCCTGGGCATCGGGCAGAGCCCCGAGCAGCAGCGTGGCCCTGCCCAGACCCCCCGACTTCTTGAGTTTGCAGGCCTCTTGGTAGGGCGGCTGGATGGGTGGTTGGGCCGGCGGCGTGTAGCGGTACTCGGGGCTCCCCTCCAGCTGCAGGGGGTAGGTGCGGTCGGCGTCATAGGCACTGAGGTCCCCGCAGGCCAGGAAGGGCACGATGAGCCGCGTGGGGCCCTCGAGCTGGTTGAAGTCCCCGTGGTAGCTGTGGTCCAGCAGGGGGTTCAGCATGCTGGGCACGTAGCCCGCCGGGAGCGCGAAGCCCCGGCACACGGCGAAGGCCTCGATGCTCGAGTTGCGGCTGCTCCGGGGCTTGGCGCACACCACGTCGGGGAAGAAGAGGCGCAGCTGCGAGTAGAGCAGGGTGACGTCCCGGCCGCGGAAGATCTTGGCCACGAAGTTGCCGCCGGGCTTCAGGACATGGATAGCGATGTTGAGGGCGGCCAGCAGCAGCTGCGCCTGGATGTACTCGTCGATGTCGTGCAGCCCGGTGACGTCCGGGGCACCGTCACACACCACTAGGTCCGCCGGCTGCCCCTCGAAGTGCCCGATGATCTCCTGCGCCGTGGACGCCTTGGTGATGTCCCCCTGGATCTGCACCACCCCAGGCAAGGGCGCCATGGCCTGCAGGTCCACGGCCACGATGCAGGCCGGCGGCCCGGACCCCCCGAGCTTGCGGCTCAGCACCTGGCTCCAGCTGCCGGGGGCGGCGCAGAGATCCACCGCCCGCCTGACACCGCTGAACAGCTGGAATTCTTCGTCCAGCTGGAGCAGCTTGAAGGCGCTGCGGGCCCGCCAGCCCTCCTCCTTGGCCAGCCGATAATAGACATCGCGCTTGTCCTTGGACGTGCGCCCCATCGCGGACCGCGGGAAGGGGAGGGGAGCTGGCAAGAGGCGCCCGAAGTCCCGGGACCGACGCTGCTACCGAGGGCCCGGGCCCAGGCAAAAACAGAGAAGCAGGCACTGCGGCCGGCCGAGAGTATGACAGCCGAGAGCCACGCACGGCAGTACGTAGCGCCCGCACTCACGCCACAGCGTGATGACGCCACTCACTCCCGACGGTGCCCCGTTAGGGAAGAGGCAGGAGGAGGGAGGGAAAGCGGGGCGTCATGGCGCTAGGGATGTTGTGATTGGTGCAGAAGCCGTGGAGGCGGATCCTGCTCTCTCCCGGAAGGGAGTGTAAACCCGAGATTCCAAGTGTGTATTTCTGCTTTTATATTGCTCTTAATCGCGTGTTGTGAACTGCCTCCAGAAAACCCTAAACTGGGAGCAGATGTCGGCAGTTTCTATGAAGAATGCTAGCTCTCCTTCCGAGACCATCCTGGATTTATTCAGTCTGCATTTTGTAAGAGTAGTTTGCTTGTTACCTCCCCATTCTCGAGGGCAGGGGCTTTTTACCCAGCGCCTAGAACTGCGCTTAGCCTAGACTGGAGTAAGTACATGATGGATGCATACTGACTCCTGTCTCCTGGACTCTGAAGGACCAGGCGAGGCTGAACCTGGGAACCTAAGAAGTCAGAACACGAGCAAGTCAGCACCCCCTTTAAGCCTTGCAACCTAAGCCCTGTTTTCTGTAAAAAACAAATAGAAGAAATCAGTGCTCATATCTCCAGCTGGAAAAAAAAAGAAAGTCGCCTGGATCTGTCTTAAGCACATAAAAGGCCATTTCTATACATAGCTGGACTGGTGACAGTCCATTCACAAATGAGTTGTTCTGTATAGTAGTGAGGTTGGTCATAATGTAGAAGTAGTTCTTAGATGGGTTTGTTTTGGAAACTTTTTTCCACATGTCCATTGGGAAAAAATTGTTTGCAGTTTAAACTGTAAAATCTTCTGCTGTGAAGGAATACAGAGATTATACTATGTTCTCTATTGCAAATTGTTGATGAGGCTTTTATGTTGAGGTTTAGAGTTGGGAGAGCTGGTTCAGGTGTGAAATAATTCATTTAGACCTTCTCTGTAGCCATTGGGAACTTTATTTCATGAAAGCTTCACGGGCCCGAGGTTAGCAAGGTGCTAAACAAAGGGCGCAGATATAGGAAAAGACCCAGGCTTATATAGACAGAAAACTGTACAGCCTGTAGGAAGATGATGTATTTTTAGAGTTTCGTATGAGAGCTGGAAATTAGGAACAGGATAAGAACAAACACGGTGAGGAAGATGGTTGTCAAGATAAAGAAAAATTGTGACACAGCATGAGGAAGATAATTGACAGGATAAGGGAAACAAAGGCAATTCTTTTGGTACAGGTTGTATGGCATTTCAAGAAAAGGAGAAAAGGACTTGAGAAGTTCTCAAGTTCCAGGATCTCAGTGTACAGGATGGGCCACAGAATGAGCCTCAAACCCCCTCAGGGGCCTGGGAAAGTAACCTGTAATATTATTTTTAATCCTAGGGCACTCTTTGTCCCCACATCAAAACTATTAACTTCCTATGATCTAACCATTCTACATCTCTCAAGGTACATTCTTTAAATCTTGCTCCAAATTATTCTCCGTATATTCACTATCTGATCCAGCCACGTCACACCATATTTCTCTCCCCCTAATGGATCTAAGTCCCCAGAGAAGAATCACTACCTTGGAGCTTAGCTACACTCAAACTCAGTTGTGGATGAAATACCCACACTGCTCATTACTTAAAGTCTTTCATAAAGCTCCTTAGTTAATACTAATATGTGCTGTCTGAAATTGCCTCCAAAATATCCTGTATGCAGCATGTCCCAAAAGACTTAGCAGTTTTAAAGCTATAACAGCTTGTTTGTACGTAGTTCTTTGCATGCATGTTGACTCCTCCATTGAATTGTTAGCTGCTTTAAAGCAGGGGTTGTTTTTGTCTTTCTTTTATATTCCTGCTACAAAGTAACCTCTTAATACTCTCTAAACTAATGTGGGCAAATCCATACACAGTGATGACAATTAGGTCTTAAACATAGCCATTTACTTAAAAATAAGGTGAAAGAAATAATATCACAGGTACTTATAAGACAAATGAGAAATAAAAGAAAGTTAATATCTATGATGTAAAAATAGCAGGACCAATGACCCCTGCTAAAGTAATAAAAGAAAATTCATCATCCTTTACTTATAAATGTCTATGTACTGTCTCTTATGGTTGATGTATGTATCTTCATTCTATCAATTGCATCTCACACCATTGGTTTTCTTATAAGGCTGCTTTTTAGTTTGTATAGCATAAGTTCTCACAGCCCTCATAATCATCACATTACTGTAATACTGTATAGCCTTCTTGGGCTAGATGCTGGCACACTAATATTAATATATTTTACAGTTTTGCCAGCTCTGGCTGATTCAGAAGCAGAATATCTGTTCTCAGATGGCACAGTCATGCCAATGACAGTGACAGGAGGCAGTGAGGTTCATTTTGATCTAGAATTATCGGGTCAGATCAAAGTGCTTCCCCTAGCCTAAGAACAGTTATATTCTCCAGAATCTCAGTGGCCTTTGACAATCATACATCCTTCACTAATCTGCTTAGAATGGCATTTTACCAAAAGTTACTAAGCTGTGCATGCTTTTAAACAGAGTAATACCGCTGATGGGCCTACAACTCAATGAGATCAAAGAAAGTGGGAAAGGTTCCATACATACAAAAATATTTATAGCAGCCACCTTTATTTTATGTGATGGCAAAAAATAAAAACTGAAAACTAAGGAGATGACGATCAATTGATGAATGACTGAACAAACTATGATATATAAATATAAGAGAATACTATTGTGCTGCAAGAAATGAGGAAGAAGATGGTTTCAAATGAGACAGGAAAAGACTTGTATAATGTACTGATGGAGAGTGAAGTGAGCAAAACTAAAAGAACAATTTATACAATAACATCTGGATTATAAAAAAGAATTTGGAAAGACAAGAACTATGATCAACCAAATGATTAACCATGATTCTAGAGATCTAATAAGGGAGAACACTGCCCACCTCATGACAAAAATGGACTAATATGCAAAATGAAAAATATATTTTATATGACCAGTGAAGTAATATGTTTTGTTTGACTGGGCTAATGTGATACAAGAATTTTTGCTTTCTTGTGGGTAGGAGAAAAAAATAAATGCATGACAGGTGAATAAAATTTATTTTTTAAATCACATTGTATGCATCAGGTGATGGTACTGTATGTGTCCCTTCATGGGTAAACATACACGAAGGTGCTACTATTCCTGTAACTATTCAAACCACCCAACAGAGAATGTTCTTGGCACCAGTTTCTTTTCTGAAACTAAAGTGGGTCAAGGGAAGATGGGATGGGGATGGAGCCAAGATGGCAGAGAAAAAGCAGGGACTCACCTGAACTGTCCCCCAAACCCTTCCAAACAGCTTTAAATGGTGCCCCAAAACAAATTCTGGAACAGTAGAACCCACAAAAGAATGGAAGTGAAACAATTTCCCAGCTCAATATCACTAAGAAAGGTCTGTTGCACCAGGGTGAGAGTGGAATACAATCCAGCTTAGGCCACACCCAGCAAACAAGTAGTAGGCCTTGGGAACTACTGGTTCAGTGACTGCAGTGGCTAATTCTGAACCTCTGAGCCAACAGATGGTAGGGAGATAAACATCTTGTCAGAAGAAGATTACAGTGGTCCCCTTTGCTGGCACCAGGGCAGGACTCTGTTGCATTGCCCATACATGTATTGGGGTCTCAGTTCTGGGTCTGAGCACCAGGGCCAGGAGGAGCACTACCATCAGAGCTTGCAGGCCCTGGTCACAGTTCCAGCGCAGAAAAAAGAGCTTTTGGTCCATAACAGATCAGAGCATAGATCAGGAGAGTAGTAAATACACCTCTCTTAGATCATGCCACCTTGGAAGAACCAAAAACTTACAGGTCCCCAGAATTATCATTGAAAGCAGCTGCACAAAAACCATGAAACTTGGGACAGAGCCCCACTTTAGCATACAGTTAAAAGTCAAGAAATAGGCTGGAAAAATGAACAAAGAGCAGAAAAAGATCCTGACTATAGAAAGTTACTATGGTGACAGAGAAGATCAAAACACAAACTCAGAAGAAGATAACAAAGTCAGAACTGCTACATTAAAAGCCTCAAAGAAAACTATGAATTGGCCCCAGGCCATTGAAGAACTCAAAAAAAGATTTTAAAAATCAAGTAAGAGAGGCAGAGGAAAAAAATGGGAAGACTAATGAGAGTGATGCAAGAACATCATGAAAAAATAGTCAACAGCTTGGTAAAGAAGACACAAAAATACTGAAGAAAATAAGATCTTAAAAAACAGACTAGGCCAAGTGGTAAAAGAGACTCAAAAATCCTGTGAAGGGAAAAATGCCTTGAAAAACAGAATTGGCCAAATGGATAAAAAGGGGAGAGGATACAAAAATCCACTGAAGAAAAGAACTTAAAAAGTGGAATGATCAAATGGAAAAGGAGGTATAAAAGCTCAATGAAAAAAATAATTCCTTAAAAATAAGAATCAGGCAAGTGGAAGAGAATGACTTTATGAAACAGAAAAAAACAAAACAAAACGAAATCAAAGGATGAAAAAAAAATAGAAGAAAATGTGAAACACCTCATTGGAAAAAGAGCCAACCTGGAAAAAAGATGTAGGAGGGATAATTTATGAATTATTGGACTCCCTGAAAGCCATGATCAAAAAAAAGGAGCTTAGACATGATCTTTCAAGAAATTATTGAGGAAGATAGAACCAAAAGGCAAAATAGAAATTGAAAGAATCACCTCCTAAAAGAGATCCCAAAATGAAACTCCCAGGAATATTATAGCCAAACTCCAGAACTCCCAGGTCAAGGAGAAAATATTTCAAGCAGCCAAAAAGAAACAATTCTAATATCATGGAGCCATAGTCAGGAAAGGACAAGATGTAGCAGTTTCTACGTTAAAGAGTGGGAGAGCTTGGAATATGATATTCCAGAGGGCAAACGAGCAAGGATTACAACACAAGAA